GAGCACAGGGGAAAGTTATGTCACTGTCTTCCTTGGAAGGTCTGAGGCAGGATGAGAAAGAGAATGGAAGGTACAAAGCCTCATTGAGTTACTCTGGAACCAGGTGATCAAATGGATGAAGGTAAGTGTAGTTCTGGTTTTCAGGAGAATGGTGATGTCTGTCAGTTAAGCAGGAGTCTGAAATGGGACATTTCAGTGTAGCAGTGGTGCAATTTGAAAAAAGTATGGAATACTACAATTTATTCATCTGTAAGAATGTAGTAATTTGGATGACATCTAAGGCCTTATCTCACTCTAACAATCCAGACTCAATGTTGGAGCCAGATCATGAGAAACCGTAAAGTTTCAACTTTCTTCTAAAAGTAATGGGGAGCCTTCAAAAGTTATTTTAATAGAACAGGGAGATGATCAGAGATATTTTTTAGAAAGACAACAATGGCAACATGCTAACTTGTGAAGTGAATAAATAGTAATAATAACAATAATAATAAATAAATAAAAATAGCAACTAACATTCTATGGGCCCAGCTTTGTTCTAAGTGCTTTATTTACATTTACTAACTCATTGAGTACTACCAATAAATCTATAAGGTAGCTCAGTTTTACCCCATATATCATGAGAAAATCAGGCACAAAGAGGTAAGACCAATTATCTAAGTGGGTAATAATTGACAGATCCAGGATTCAGTTTGCTAACAGACTCCAAAGCTCATGTTCTAATCCATAGGAGCAATGGTAGAAGGGTGGATTTCGAAGAGAAAGAAAGAAAGATACAAAAATAAGATAGAGAACACCTCAATGATTCAGGAAAGAGATAAAGATTTTACCTCTGGGTCTGACCTCTTCTCCTAACCTCTAATCACAAACTGAATACTAGACATCTCCACACACCTGGATATACTATAGGCATTTCTGACCTTTTGTGCCCTACATAGAACAATCCTCATGTCTCCACAGATCTGCCCCTCCTTCTTCATTTCAGAGTACACCATCCTGTACCCTGTTTCCCTAACTAGAAACCTTGGCTTCACCTATCAACTGTCCTCCCCCTTACCCTGCAAATCACTTCCTTGTTCACTCTGTGTCAGTATCCTTAGATTCCTTTTCCCATGTCTAAAATTGTTGATGTTCCCCAAGGAACAAATAGCTCTGAAAGTTTTTTTTTTTTTTTGACACAGAGTCTCGCTCTGTTGCTCAGACCAGAGTGCTGTGGTGTCAGCCTAGCTCACAGCAACCTCAAACTCCTGGGCTCAAGCAATCCTCCTGCCTCAGCCTCCCGAGTAGCTGGGACTACAGGCATGCGCCACTATGCCCGGCTAATTTTTTTCTATATGTCATTTTAGTTGTCCAGCTAATTTCTTCCTACCTTTTTAGTAGAGACAGGATATCACTCTTGCTCAGGCTGGTCTTGAACTCCTGAGCTCAAACGATCCACCCACCTTGGCCTCCCAGAGTGCTAGGATTACAGGCATGAGCTACCACACTTGGTCAGCTCTGAAGATTTTATTAAAGAAAAACAACAGTCCCCTGCTACCCCCTATTCTGCATTTCCCTCTTCCCAAAGGCAACTCTTTGAGTTATTTTTGCTGAGTATTTCAGTATTTACTTCCATTTCTCTAGGTATTAACATACTTGTGTTATTATTTCTGGATTTTCCAGTTTTAGGCATTGTCAATTGACTTTCCACAATAAAAGATAAGGATTTAGCTCTCCTTTTCCCCACCTGCCACCTTTCCCTTCCTATCCTTCATCCTTTCAATAGAGTTCTAGCATAACTTTGGTCAACAGTGTTTACTTTATTATGACTGTATAAATTCTATCTTGTAGCTGAGCCACATAGCAAATTAGGATGTCTTTTCATTTCTTATAGAGGGTGAATAGCCCTTATCTGAAATGACTGGGGCCAAAAGTCTTTGGATTTTAGATTTTTTTTTTTTTATTTTGGAATATCTGCATTATACTTACTGGTTCGGCATCCCTAATCCAAAAATCCGAAATCTGAAATACTCCAGTGAGCATTTCCTTTCGGTGTCATGTCGATGATCATAAAGTTTCAGATTTTAGATCATTTTGGATTTTTGGATTAGGGATACTTAATCTGTACAACTTTTTTGTTTTCCCAGAGTTAATAACTCTTGTTAGATGGTGATCTATGTTATCACCATTCAATCCCAAACTTTTAGCCAGTTGGCTAAATCTCCTTTCAATATCTGTTATTTAGTTTATATCTGTTTATTAGTTTCATATTCTTGAATAAGTCTTTTCTGGTTCTTTGGTTTTGTTCCACTCTGGGTTAACTGTTCCCTTTATGACTCATGCAGAGCTGTCATCCTCATCTTCCTTCATTGTCATCCTATGGAATTCTTTTTGCCCTTTTCTGAGTTGAATCTGTTTGGTTTACTCTTCATTTTGGTGGAATAAATCTAGTAAAGTTTTAGAGATATTTTCATGTCTGAAAATGTTTTTATTCTACTGTCACATTTGCTTAACACTTTGCCCAGGGATATAATTCTAGACTGAAATTAACTTTCCTCCAGAATTTTGAAGGCATTGTTACATTATAGTTTCTATTGTTGCTACTAGTAAGCCCAAAGCCATTCTGGCTCCTGATTAGTTGTATATAACAATTTTCTCTTTGGAAATCTGTAGCATGTTTTGTCTCCAGTGTTCTGAAATTTCAAAATGATGTGGACTTATTTTTACCCACTGTGTTGGGCACTTAGTGGGCCCTTTCATTCTCTTAACTTGTATCTCTCAGTTCTGGGACATTTTCTTATATTTCTCCTCTGTTTTTTCAATTCTCTTTTTATGGAACTCCTGTTCAGAGAATGGACTTCCTGGACTAGTCCTCGAAGTCTTCTTATTTTCTTTTCTATGTTCCATCTTTTTGTCTTTTGCTCTACTTTCTGAGAAATTTCAAACTTATCTCCTATTCTTATATTGAATTTTTCCTTTTTGTTATACTTTAAAATTTCTTAGAATTTTTTTTTCTTTGAAATGAAAGCTTGTTTAAAAGTATTTTCCTCTCCTTGCAGAGTCCATTTCTTCTAAGTCACTTTTTTTCTACTTGTTTGATTTGGTCTCTATCCTTCATCATAGAGGCTTTCTTTAGCTCTCTGGCAATCCTTGGTTATCTCTTCAAATTTAGGAGTGGAATCTAAAAAAGCTGATTGGAAGCTCTGAGCACAAAAATAGAATTTGTCGTCCATAAACTTCACTACATGGTGATCTGACTGTGCTGTTAGATAGAAATCTCTGATACAAATAAATTTATGTTATTCTTCTTGGGCTAGCCAGATTTTTGACAAGGCTCTTCCAAACTCCTAACTGAAGGAATTTTGGGAAATTGGAAAAGTGGGCTGGGGGAAGAACAAAGCTCAGCAGCCAATATCTCTATTTATATCAGCTTTCGTGATTTTTATTATACTTCCTTCCTCAGTCCTGTCTGTTGTCTTCTACTAGTCATTCTTCCTCAAGAGTAAAGGTAGCTCCTCTCCCTACAGTGTTTCCCTAATCTTTTGCTGGTAGCTGTGAGAGATAATTCGGCTTTCACTGGCCTTGTGGTCTTCCCCTATCCCTTTCTCCTGTTAATTCCTGGACAGAGAAATCAACAGATGTCAAGGCTAGAATAAATTTCAGGCTGATCCAGCCCAGTGGTTTTTAAAATTAGTTTTATGACTCTGCTTCATATTCTACAGGAGGGACAAGTGCCCCTTCCTACTGTATTCAGAGCAACTATGCTTTTATTGGTTCTAAATGTTGAGTTTCTACATAAGATTTATCTTTTTTTCCCCCTACCTGCCACTTCAGGAAAGACACATAAGATTTAACTTAAAGCCAGGCGTGGTGGCTTACGCCTGTAATCCTAGCTCTCTGGGAGGCCGGCGGATTACTCGAGGTCAGGAGTTCGAAACCAGCCTGAGCAAGAGCGAGACCCCGTCTCTACTATAAATAGAAAGAAATTAATTGGCTAACTAATATATATATATATAATTAGCTGGGCATGGTGGCGCATGCCTGTAGTCCCAGCTACTTGGGAGGCTGAGGCAGAAGGATTGCTTGAGCCAGGAGATTGAGGTTGCTGTGAGCTAGGCTGACGCCATGGCACTCACTCTAGCCTAGGCAACAGAGCGAGACTCTGTCTCAAAAAAAAAAAAAAAAAAAGATTTAACTTAAGAAAAAGTTCCCTTAATAGATTTCAGTTTCTAAAAAAGAGAGTAAAAATTTTATTTAAAAAAAAAGTAAAAAAGAAAAAAAAGAAATAGTTCCCTTAAAAAAATAAAATAAAAAATAAAATAAAATAAAATGAGCAGGATGTGAAAAAAAAAAATAAAAGAAAAAGTTCCCTTTATAAAAAGACTGAAAACCATTGATCTGGTGGTATCATTCCTTTTTCCCACCACCTATGCTTGCATTTTATATATGGAAAAACCTGTGGTCCACACAGAGAAGAATCTCATTAAACATTATTCAAGTCTCCTCTCTCCAAGTCCAAATTGTTCATGAACCAAGATTTTAGGATACTATAAAGTATCTCCAATTAGGGAAGATTCTCCACAACTTGTAGAGAAGCTCTTCCTCAAAAGCAGTGTATATCTTATATGTCCACCCCTCCTAGGCCTCTGCCTTCTTCAGGACTGCTCTAGGATACTGAATAAGGGAAGGTGACCCTTAGGAATTGGTGCAGTGTCACTCCAACAATGCCAGTGGCTCACTGCTATGGCCATTCCCATCACATAGGATACTAACACAAGAGAAGGCGGCTTCTCCCATGACCACAATTGTCACAAATATGAGAAGCACACTGGAAATGCTTTGAGAAATCATGTCATTATGCAGGCAAAACCAAGGTCTCAAAGGGCCTTGACACTACTCCTTCTTTCTTCCTTTTCCCTTTCCTCCCCTCCCCAAGGTGAGCTGTTTCCTGGGCTGGACTGGGTCCCAAAGCCTTCTAGGGGTAGCAGGAGCTTTGCCTCAAGTGGGTATAAGGGAAAACATACCCTTCTTCCACGGTGACTGAATTCATGAGAATGCAATTGGTAATAGTCACTCTATCTCTTATGACACAGGATGAACCAATGACTGAATGCTTAATGGATGACTTCTCTCCAACCTGTGTATCTGGCCCGATGAGGCTGTCAACGCCAACCTGTAGAAGGCAAATATAAAACCTTGTTCATCTATCTCAACTGATTGCAAACCTCCCTCCAAATCCCCTGAGCTAGGATCTAATGGGATCTTTCCACAGAGACACTTCCACAAGAAGAACCATTATCAGTATTTCTTAGGGCCACAGGTCACACAACATCTGAGACCAACTCAAACCTATACTGAAGCATAGGTCCTCCTCTGCCAAGAAAACAAATAAAAAACCCAGACACATATACACATGCTCATGCACTTATGTACACAGATATATACAGAAGTACTCTTGAAGAGAGTGCTCAAATCAGGGTAAGAAGAGAAACAGATTGAAACTCCTGTGTGTCTGTGTCCCAACACTATAAATGGGCCCTTCCTTACCAGGTCTGCACTTGCCCAGGTAGTTTTCTTGAGTGAGATTTTATTACCAGAATCCAGCTGGGATTTTCCTGGGGCTAATGAGATTCAGGTCTTGAGGGCCTCAATTCAGCTTCTCAAGGACAAGTCTCAATGTCCCCTGAGAATGTCCCACGCCCGTCCTGCCCATGCTAGCACTTACCAGGTGTTTGCTGACAATCTGGGCTGATGAATGGATCAGTGATTCTTCTGGACAAAGAACAGGCAGCAATTTGGGCACCTTGAGGAAAAGAGTTTTAGTCACCAAAGACCAGAAAAATGCCCCAAACACGTTAGATAGAACCCAAAGACCAATTGGAGATGTGAAGTTCTAAGCCACAGCTTCCTAGCTGTGTAAGGGAAAGCCGGAGGCTGCTGCATTTCCCCTAGGACCAGGATTGTTTATGTAGCAGGTTCTAGATGGCCTTATCTTCAGTCTATTAGCTATAAGCACTCCTCCCTAAAAGTAATGGCACATTCCTTGGCTAGGAGGCAGTGAGATAAACCTTTGAGATACCCATGCAGCACTTCTTAGAAAAGAAGGCCTGATGAGGGCAAGGAACACCAAGGAGTCCTGATCATAGCCATCCTAGGTTCCTACTCATCCCCTGGACCACAGTAGCTATGCATGAAGTGAGGACAGTAGCAATATTAGACAAATTCCATAGTAAGGACAGACCCCCAAGAGTCATTCATGTTATTCACCAGCCAAAAGAAAACAAGATGGGAAGTTCACATTATTCTCTCTAGGATGTGAAAACTGAAAAGGTTAGGGGTATGGGGAGGGGGGCTTTGGCTATCAGCTCATTAGGAAGGCACAAAGAGTATGCGTATCTGTGATTCTCTGGCTCAGGCAGAATGCTGGTCAGAGCCATGTATGGTAGCCACACTACCTGAGGGAAGCCTTGCCAGCACTGGCTACACTGGCATGTGAAGGCTAATCTCCAGCTTCTAGCCTTAGGAGCTAGCCTATCACACTCTGAATCCTTTCAGGCCCATTTGCTGCACAGTTTCTGCTGGTGGTTTAGAGCATAATTCTCCAGTCTCAGGCTATTCGCTATTCATGAAACTGCTTCTAGACCAGTCTGACAGACTTGAGTCATGGGTAAATGTGGGTCTAGCTGTGATTTCTCTTCAGCTCTCTGGCTTGGGATTCCCTTGGATCTATAACTAATCCAGGTTGAGGCTAGCTTGAGCTCTGGGGCTGTGGCTACACACACCATGCAGTGTGGGTCACGAAGATTCTAAAGCCAGGTTTTCTTCAGGGATTCAATCCCAATTTTCTTTTTCTTTTTAAATTTCATTTCTTTTTTTTTATTCTAAGTATTTTCTTTCTTTCTTTCTTTCTTTCTTTTTTTTTTTGAGACAGAGTCTCACTGTGTTGCCCAGGCTAGAGTGCCATGGCATCAACCTAGCTCACAGCAATCTCAAACTCCTGGGCTAAAGCAATCCTTCTGCCTCAGCCTCCTGAGTAGCTGGGACTACAGGCATGCACCACCAGCCCAGCTAATATTTTCTATATATTTTTAGTTGGCCAATTAATTTGTTTCTATTTTTAGTAGAGACGGGGACTCGCTCTTGCTCAGGTTGGTTTCAAACTCCTAACCTTGAGTGATCCTCCCACCCTGGCTTCCCAGAGTGCTAGGATTACAGGCATGAGCCACCACACCTGGCCGATTTCATTTCTAAATATTACGGGGATACAAACACTTTGGTTACATATACTGCCTTTACACTGCTGGAGTAAAAGCTACAAGCATGCCCATCCCTGAGAAAGTGCACACCACATCCATTAGGTGTGAATTTATCCACCCTCTCCTCCCCTCTCCCACTTGCCCAACACCTGATGAAAGTTACTTCCATATATGCACAAAGTGTTGATCAGTTAGTGCCAATTTAATGGGGAGTACATGTGGTGCTTGTTTTTTCATTCTTGGGATACTTTAGTATGAAGCATGGGCTCCAGCTCCACCCAGGATAATACAAGAGGTGAGTAGTACTCCGTGGCATATATAATGCCACATTTTATTAATCCATTCATGTATTGATGGGCACTTGGGTTGTTTCCACATCTTTGCAATTGTGAACTGTGCTGCTATAAACATTCGAGTGCAGATGTCCTTATTATAGAATATCTTTTTTTCCTTTGGGTAAATACCCAGTAGTGGGATTGCTGGATCAAATGGTAGGTCTACTTTTAGTTCTTTGAGGTATCTCCTTATTACCTTCCATAGAGGTTGTACTAATTAGCAGTCCCACTAGCAGTGTATGAGTGCTCTATCTCTCTGCATCCACGCCAGCATTTGTTGTTTTGGCACTTTTTGATAAAAGCCATTCTTACTGGAGTTAAGTGATAGCTCATTGTGGTTTTGATTTGCATTTCCTTGATTATTAGAGATGTTGAGCAATTTTTCTTATGTTTGTTGGCCATTAGTCTGTCTTCTTTTGAAAAGTTTCTGTTTAGGCTGAGCATGGTGGCTCACACCTGTAATCCTAGCACTCTGGGAGGCTGAAGCAGGAGGATCACTTGAGGTCAGGAATTTGAGCCTCAGCAAGAGCAAGACTGTCTCTACTAAAAAAATAGAAAGAAATTAGCGGGGCAACTAAAAATAGAAAAAACTAGCTTGGCACAGTGGCATGCACCTGTAATCCCAGCTACTTGGGAGGCTGAGGCAGGAGGACTGCTTGAGCCCAGGACTTTGAGGTTGCTGTGAGCTAAGCTGACACCATGGCACGCTAGCCTGGGCAACAGAATTAAGAATCTGTCTAAAAAAAAAAAGTTTCTGTTCATGTCCTTTGCTCACTTTTTAGTGGGGTTGTTTGATTTTTTCTTGTTAATTTTCCTGAGTTTTATACATATTCTGCTTATTAGCCCTTTATTGGATGTGTAGCACGCAACTTTTCTCCCATTCTATAGGTTGTCTATTCGCTCTAGTGATAGTTTCTTTGTGCAGAAGCTTTGCAATCCCAATTTTCAACAATATCTTTTATATCACTCTACACCCACTGCCCACCCCAGTCTGTACCTGCAATGACATTTTTCATAGAGTTCTACCAGGAGCAATGTCAACAGCTAATATTTTCATTATTTCATCCATGTTACCATTGAATGCCACCCCAATGCAGTTCTCTCAATTATCTATCATTTTCTGTTCTCATTTAAACCTGTTACTGCTCTACATTTCCTATTCCTACTCTCAACATCCCTCCCTCCTTAAAGCTTCCTCCTGTGCCCACTACACAATAAAGAGCTCCCCTCCACCCTCAACATCTTTACTGTCCCCCTCTCCATCCCCTGCCTTCGCTGAGATCTGGTTGGTCTTTGAGGGTGATTCTTCCCCTTCAATGGAAACTTTTTCCTCTCCATATCTCACAAACAGCAGGGTTAAAGGAGGGGTTGGCACTAATGTTGTTTCCAGACAGTTCTCTCTCATAGACATTCCTTCCTTGAGGCTTTGCCATATGGCCACTCTATATTTCCTCTGTTCCTTCATCTTCTCAGGTAAACCCCTTCTGTATGCCTATGTTTACCTCATCAAAGTATTAATAATGATTATACCATATTTATCTGCTTGTTTATGAAGTAAGTACTACAGACATCCCCATGCTGAACAGAATAGGAGGAAGCTGCCGAACCCAGAGGCCAGAAGTTAGCCTTTCCTTGGAGCCACAGAGGCCCTGCCTCTATACCAGGCTCTCTGCTTCCTGCTTTGCTACACCTGGATACCCCAATGGACTCCTTTGACATGCCAGATCTTGCTCAACCTTGGGAATGGGAGGGATTCTAATGTGTACCAAAGGAAGTACTAAGACAAGTGGCTCAGCCTGTTTCTAGGGCAGAAGCCCTCATGATCCCTCTTCTAAACTCATGCTCTCACCTGTCTGTTTGCTTCCATGTAGAGTCCCAGTGTGCTTACTCGAGAGCAGAGTCCCTCTTTCATGATGTGGACATAGCAGTTCACCTGTGATCTGGACAAGTCTTCCCACCTGTCTCCTCGACAGGCATTCCAGCAGGTATCAAAGGGGGCCAAGGTCAGTGTATTTTCTTCTTTTATAAAACTATAAATATCTTCAGAACAAACACCCAAACCAAGCAAGAAAATGAGAGATAACAGAAGAGATACAGACTCAGTCAAGGTTTTTTCAAAAATTAAAAAAAATTTTTAAGAGACAAGGTCGCACTATGTTGTCTAGGCTGGCCTTGGACTCTCAGATTCAAGTAATCCTCCCACCTCAGCCTGCCAAGTAGCTGAGACTACAGGGGCACATCATTGCATTTGGCTCTCAGTCAAGTTTTAAAAGAAGTTACAGCTCACACTTCTCTCCTGGAACTCACCAATGAAAACAGGGACCCTGGGAAAATCCCACTAAAACCTGAAAGACTAAGTCAAATTAAAAGAGGCAATGTGCTTTCCTGCATATTTGAAATATTGTATGATATAAAAATGCTTAATAAGAGGTCCTAAAAGCAAGTTTGACCAATAATCAAGTACTGATAGGGAAAATAAAATAGATGACCCTTATAAATCATGAAATAACACAATCAAGAGTCCAGGTATTAGTGATGAGCCATGCTGATTTTGAGCTACTAGTCTCTATTACCTTATCAGGTAGCTGTGCTATGATAGAAAGAGCACAGAACTTGGGAGTTGGAATACCTGTGCTCCAGTTTTTCAAGTCTCACAGCAACCCTCTGAGATCTTTTATTTTATGATAAGAAAACTGGGATCACAAAACTAAGTAACCTGACTCATGTCACAGAGCTAGTAAGAGGCAAAGTCAGATTTTAAACCTAGTTCTGTCTAATGCCAGCCAAGGCCTACAACTTTAAGCATTATGCTATATTGTCTCTGCTTATTCATTTGATAAATATTTTTTCAGAATATCTGCTATGAGCCCAGGACTGAGCCAGGGACTAGGGATATGAGAGCAAACAAGACAGATCTCATCTCCAGATCCTGGAATGGAGACAGTCTGATTGGCCTCTAGTCGGACTGTAATTGTACATTCCTTCACCTTCCTTCCCTTGATAGAAGAGGCTGAATTTAATCAAGAATAGGGCTGCCCAGAACCTAGAGAACAGGGGAACTGAGAAGTAGCAGGCAGAGTTTAAAGATAAAATAGTCTAGTGAGGAATATACCCAAACAAGCTATGAACCAGAGGATGGGGCTGGAGGAATAATCACTCTGTCCCTGAAGAGCACAGTGACAGCATCTGCCTGAGCAAGCTTATCCAGACCTCAGGGAGTGGGGCTGGCGAGCCTGTCTTGCCCTATAGGTTAGATAAGAGTCTGCTGCTTTGAGACAGGCATGTGGGGCTGGGCTAAGCTGCCCAACCACTCTCTACAGAGGTGCTGCCACCCCTGCCCCTCTTAATGCACCAACCCAAGCACTTACCTAAGGACTTTGGATCCTTTTTCTTTGGATCCTCCTCTTTTTCTTCTTGTCCTTGTTGTGAGGAAGCTGAGGAAAATTGTTTTCTCACTAGATATGGAATAAGTTCACTCCGGATAGAAGTGATTGACCTAGGAAGAAAGAATGGCCAAATATGAGAAAACTGTCCATAACCTAATGAGATAAAAAACTCGGCCGGGCGCGGTGGCTCACGCCTGTAATCCTAGCTCTCTGGGAGGCTGAGGTGGGCGGATCATTTGAGTTCAGGAGTTTGAAACCAACCTGAGCAAGAGTGAGACCCCGTCTCTACTATAAATAGAAAGAAATGAATTGGCCAACTAATATATCTAGAAAAAATTAGCTGGGCATGGTGGTACATGCCTGTAGTCCCAGCTACTCGGGAGGTTGAGGCAGGAGGATTGCTTGAACCCAGGAGATTAAGGTTGCTATGAGTTAGGCTGACGCCATGGTACTCACTCTAGCCTGGGCAACAAAGCAAGACTCTGTCGCAAAAACAACAACAACAACAACAAAAAAAACTCTGTGCCTCCAAGGAAAACCAAATCCCACCTCCGGACTGACAGAGATCAAACGTGGCATGGATCTGGCAGTTCTGGAGAAGCAGAGGATCTGAGTTCTCTTTATCAGCTTCAGGCTGGGAGTGGGAGAGTTGTGTACTGAATCTGAGAATCTCTCCCGTTGGTCAAAGCAGAAACTAGTCTTTCATAAAGTCCCATCTGTGATGATGTATGTATGTATGTACAAGTTTATATATGTATATATGTATTTTAACACAGTGCCCTGACTTCATTGGCAAAAACCCATGAGAAGGCAGAATGCTTTGGTCTTTTGAAGACAGTTGTTTCAAAACCATTTAAAAATTTTCTCCATAAAGGCTTTGTACATCTTGTTAGAGTAATCCTAAATTTCCTATATTTTTTGTTGATATTATAAATGGTGTCTTAAACTATTATTCTCTTCTTGATGTTGATTTATAAAAATTTAATTTACTCTGTATTTTGATCTTATAGCCAATAGCTTTGCTAAACAATCTTATTAGTTCTCATAATTTATCTGTAGATTCTGATAATCATATCAACTATGAAGATAATAATTTTCTTCTTTTCTAATCTCTTTATCTTTTATTTTCATTTATTTTTCATCATCTTGTCATACTGGGTAAGACCTCCAATATAATGCTGAATAGAAACACTAGTAGCAATCATCCTTATTTGTTCCTGATTTTAAAGGAAATTCGTCTACTGTTTTATCATTTATAATGATGATTGTTGTAGGATTTTCTGTAGATACTCTTATTATGTTGAGGAAGTTTTCTTTTCTTTCTAACTTGCTATGACATTTTTTTTTAAGACTAAATATATTTATTGTACCACCATTTTATATAACAATAAAAGCAATCTAGTGAGAACAGATAAATTTTTTAAACTATAGAATCACTGACAAGGCAACTGGAAATGAGGTTCAAGGTATCCTGCCTGAAAATGCACACCAGGTATATTATCTGATGTAAAATGAACTTAGAATTATAACAAAAAGCACTCATACATTCATCATTTTCACTGGACTGCATTCCTTCATAAGCTCTCTGTAGTGCTCCACATTTAGCATATACAGTTAATTTTACTTTCTATTTAATTTCCTGAAAAATGATGAGGCAGAATATATCAGTAAAATGCTGCCATATATACTGTCTTAAAGTTACTATCCAGTGTAAACTAACACTCATTGAGTCTTATTTCTGGGTAAAGGCTTTGTCATGGTCATCACATTTCTATTACTGATGATCTATGATGAACCTGATAATAAAATCTATCTTCCAACAGAAGGCTTTACTTATTTCTGCATTAGCAGAATTTGTCTCATTATACACTTTGCAGACAGATGAGCTAGAAATTATTGCTCAAGGCATTTTCACATTAAATACATTACAGTTTATCCAATGTGTTTTCATTGACAGAAAATGTGAGGTAAAGGATCACTAAAGGCACTACCATATTTACTGTATTCACCAAGTTTATCATCTGGGCAAATTCTTTCATCTCCTGAGGGCACACAACTGACAATAGGCAGCACAATGATTACATCTCAATCTGCTAGAAACAAACCTGTTTGATAATGTCTGAGAGGCCATAAAAGGCATTTCCAGTCATTGCATTCATAAGCTTTTTGTTTTGCATAAATTCATTTCTAAGTAATAAGCTGTGACTCTCTGTTAGAGGAATTTTCAACTTGACTGATTCTGCCCATTTCTCTTATGTGCTTTTTTCTTATGTTTAACAAGGTTTGATAAGTGGGAAAAGGCTTTCTCACAATTGCTGCATCCATATAGTCTCTCTCCTGTATGAGTTCTTTGATGTACATTGAGTACTGACTTTGTGGTGAAGGCTTTTCCACATGCATTGCACTAATAAGGTTTTTCTCCTATGTGAATTCTCTGATGGGTAATGAGACCATATTTGTGTGAATAGGATTTTCCACACTCAGTACATACAAAGGGAGTCTTTCCTGTATGGCATCGCTCATGTTGTATGAGGCATATTTTCTGGCTGAAGGCTTTACCACATTCATTGCATTCATAGGGTTTCTCTCCTGTGTGAGTTCGCTGATGTATAATTAGGGTGCGCTTTGTGGTAAAGCCTTTTCCACATTCATTGCACATATAAGATTTCTTTCCTGTATGAGTTCGCTGATGTATAACAAGAATGCGCTTCACAGTGAAGCCTTTTCCACATTCACTACATATATAAGACTTTTCCCCTGTATGAGATCGCTGATGTACAATGAGATTGCTCTTCACTGTAAAGCCTTTTCCACATTCACTGCATATATAGGGCTTCTCTCCCGTATGAGTTCGCTGATGAACAAGATAGCGCTTCATGGTGAAGTCTTTTCCACAGTCACTGCATACATAAGGTTTCTCCCCTGTATGAGTTCGCTGATGTACAATAAGATTGCTCTTCACAGTGAAGCCTTTTCCACATTCAGTACATACATAAGGTTTCTCTCCACTATGAGTTCGCTGATGAGCATTAGATAGCGATTCATCGTAAAGCCTTTTCCACATTGACTGCATACATAGGATTTCTCTTCTGTATGGGTTTGCTGATGTGCAATGAGACTGCTCTTCATAGTAGAGCCTTTTCTATATTCATTAGGTATACAGGTTGTGTCTCTTGTATGAGCTTTCAGATGCTTAGTTACGATGACACTTCTAGATGATTTCTCACATTGACCACTTCTAGAATCCTCTCCTGTATGAATGCTCTCTTGGCAAACAAGCTGAGACTTCCTGAGGAGGGTCTGCTCAAATTCAATGGATGCATGGAGTTTCTCAATTTTCTGAGTCCTCTGATGCTTAAAGATGTGGAATTTAGTATCAACAGACTTTTTACTTTCAGGGAATTGAATATTTGCATACATATGTTCATGTTTACCATGTAGAAGGGTTTTCTCACTTCCACTAAACTCAATAGAGTTATTTGTTTCATGTCTTCTTTTCTGGTTGACTAAACTTAAACATTATTTCAAAGTTTGTCTACATAAGTCAAACATATCACGATTTTGCACTAAGGGCAAATGTGTTTTGCTCAGATGAAAAATATTTCTACATGCATTCTGTTCACTGCATTGTCACATGCTCCTCAGAAATCTTTGGTTTGGAGAGTATATTTACTGTCAACTTTTCTGATTCCTGAACTATTCTGGATTTTATCTTCTAATATCCATGGTTCTTCTTGTGGCAACTTGGACAGTGCATCTGGGTTGCTAGCTTGATACCCCAGTGACACCAAATGGTTATAGTTCTCCAACATCACATCCCAGTACAGGTCCTTCTGAGCAGCGTCCAGGAGCTGCCACTCTTCTCAAGTGAACTCCACAGCCACATCCTCCAGTGTCAGAGATTCCTGGGCCTCAGTCATTTTCTTCTGTGTTCAAGAAATAGTAAGCAATATGAACTGTAGTTATTTTGTCTCTTCTGCATCTGCCATGAAATTCTTATAGTCACAAGTCTTAGTATCCAGTTAGAGTCTAGAGTCCTCCCCAGAAATGATATTCAAGGCCAGCAAATTTCTCCTTCCTTCATTCCTTCACTTGATTTATCTTGCTTCTGAGGAGCCATGACCTGTGGGGCCACAGATGACGACCAGACCCACTATCGCAGCAAGCTGAGAGCCAAAGGAAGGGCACAGAGAGCTTGCTATGACATTTTATCAATGAATGAGACTGAATTTTATTTAAAAAAATATATTTTTTTAAGGCCAGGTGTGGTGGCTCATGTCTGTAAACCTAGCACTCTGGGAGGCCGAGGCGGCGGATTGCTCGAAGTCAGGAGTTTGAAACCAGCCTGAGCGAGACCCCGTCTCTACTAAAAATATAAATAAATTAATTGACCAACTAAAAATATATATACAAAAAATTAGCCGGGCATGGTGGCGCATGCTCCTGTAGTCCCAGCTACTCGGGAGGCTGAGGCAGTAGGATCGCATGAGCCCAGGAGACTGAGGTTGCTGTGAGTTAGGCTTATGCCACGGCACTCACTCTAGCCTGGGCAACAAAGTGAAACTCTGTCTCAAAAAATAAAATAAAATAAAATTTTTTTTTTACATCTATGGAGCTCATCACATTTTTTTCCTTTAATCTATGGTGATGAATTAAATATTTTAAACTTTTCTAATGTTAACAGCTGTGTTTGATAATGATGGTATAGATCATTTCTGCTCTATGCTCCCTCATAGTAGTGGAATTAGGAGTGATTTTCTTCTTCCTGTAAATTATCAAATTTTACAATTTTAGGCCATTCTTAAGTTTCTCTTTTTCTTCTTTCTTTCGTAGCAACTTGCATGGAATTCTTAAGTTTCTTGTCTTGATTTTTTTAGTTTCTGTGGTACAACTTTCCAGGTTTCATTTAGACCCTCTGCAAATTTAAAATCCATTTTAATGATTAAGTGGTTTCCAAGCAAATTTCATCTTCCTACCTACTTAAAAGAGTAGGCTTCCTTACAACAGTTATACTTATATACCAATGGTTATTAGAGAATTACCACAACAAAGTTCACTTCAATTTACTTTCATGTAATCTTATCAGTCTAGGCCAGTGCTTACAGAAGATCACATCAAAGAGCAATGTGTAGAAGAACTCCCAGAAGGCAAAAAAAATGACTACACTATCTTTACACTACTCAGATACAAGTAATAAGCAACCTTAGCCAAGAGCTTTGGAGCTCTCCTTCATTTGTCCTTCTTGGGTCCCAGGAGGCTTGGTGATTCCTGGTGGATATTGGGTCTAAGTGACCAGGAATCTGTAAAAGGGGAAGAAGGGACTTGATCTTTAGTACGGTGAGTTTTTCTTTCTTTTTTTTTTTTTAATTTTTTTGAGACAGAGTCTCGCTTTGTTGCCCAGGCTAGAGTGAGTGCCGTGGTGTCAGCCTAGTTCACAGCAACCTCAAACTCCTGGGCTCAAGCGATCCTGCTGCCTCAGCCTCCCAAGTAGCTGGACTACAGGCATGCGTACAATGCCCGGCTAATTTTTTCTATATATTTTTATGGCCATTAATTTCTTTCTATTTTATAGTGGAGACGGGTCTTACTCTTGTTCAGGCTGGTTTTGAACTCCTGACCTTGAGCAATCCACCCGCCTTGGCCTCCCAGTGTGCTAGGATTACAGGCATGAGCAACCGCGCCTGGCCAGTACAGTGAGTTTTTGATTTATACTTAGCAAAGGAAATTAAAGCAGAGGGATGAGAGACAAGCACATGTTTTCAGTTTTCTTTCCAACATTGTGACCTTGTTAGAATTTAAGTCACTAATTAACTTATTTAGCATTTACCAAGCATCTATTATATTCCAGTCACTGTGCTAGGCCTTAGAAATATAATATTTCTGATTTCAAGGAATTCATAATCCAGTGAGCAGTAGCCTGGTATGGGTTGAAGTAGAAAGGGAAAGGGGATGAAGCTGATAGGGTGGGCAAGGGAGCCAAATGATGGAAGCTTTCTGTGACGGAAGTCTGGACTGAGATAGTTTTTAAGCAGGAAAGTGACTCAATCAGTTTTACTTCTTAATAGGGTAATTCTAGTAGCAGTGTGAAAGAAGGCCTGGAATAAGAGGACTGAAGAAAGGGAGACCAGTTACAATACTCTGAGAGAAGAGATAATGAGGCCCGAGAAAGGGGTTGAAATATGGGCAGCTCTATAAACCTGACTGCTACTGCACACTTGCCACCACCTCCCCCAAACCCCATTCTAAGAAGCTCTGCATGCTGACACAGGACCACACAGATGGGATATAGGTAGGAAGGCAAGACAGAGGCAGAGGCCCAGGAGGATAAGGAAAATTATGAACCCTGAAGCTATACAGTTCATGGTTTTTGTCATTTCTAAAGGATCAAGTCAAACATATTTGACAAATTCTGTGTAAGCTGGGAGCTCTTGTATTGAATTTCAATGTGATTTTCTCCTGATCTTTTGGTGGAGATTTAAAAATTTCCATATGAATACAAAGAATGAAACAACACTTACTCTTAGCTCTTTTTCTCCCCTTTTAATGCTCCAAACCTGTTCGGGTAGCAAATGTTTCTAAGCCCCCTCCACTGGAAAACAAGTCAGTTCTCTTTGAAGAAGTGACAAAGCAAGGACAGCTGGGGATTTCAGGGTCATGATATTTACATTATGGACCAAACAGATCTGTCACTGCAAAAGGCAAGCAAATAAGTCTTGGCACATGGCCCCATCAGGCAGAGCTGTTCGAGATCAGTGATTTGAAGAGAGTATATGAAGCAGTCCTGCCAGGTCCCGCCCATCTCTGCTGGCGCTCAGCACTAGGTCAATTCCCATAATGCAGCTGGCTTAGCAGCTTAATAGGGGAAACAATTACTCTTCCTGCTTCCTAGTCAAAGTGGTGGCAGCTCAAAGCTGTGCCAAGAAATGATACAAGGCTACTGTGAACCACTGTGAACATCCTGACCTTGGACCTGAGGGCCCCCAGCTGGATACAGTGCCCTGGCCCTGGCCAATCTTACTTTCCATCTTCCCTCTTATACATAGCCTTCCCAGAAACACCTGCCTTATCTCATGAAATTATAAAAACCTCTCAAGAAATCACAAAGGAGGCTGGGCATAGTGGCTCACACCTGTAACCCTAGCACTCTGGGAGGCTGAGGCGGGTGGATTGCTCAAGGTCAGGAGTTCAAAACCAGCCTGAGCAAGAGCGAGACCCCATCTCTACTAAAAAAATAGAAAGAAATTAATTGGCAAACTAAAAATATGTAGAGAAAATTAGCTGAGCATGGTGGTGCATGCCTGTAAGCCCAGCTACTTGGGAGGCTAGGGCAGAAGGATTACTTGAGCCCAGGAGTTTGAGGTTGCTGTGAGCTATGCTGACGCCATGGCACTCACTCTAGCCTGGGCAACAGAGTGAGACTCTGTCTCAAAAATAAAAAGAAAGAGATCACAAAGGAGAATAGACTTCACTACTAGCTGTAAACAAACAATCCTATCAAGTTAAAAAGACAAAATAATTGTTACAAATAGCACAAAGAATATAAAAAAATTTTTTTTTACTTTATTTGGGTATAAAGAATATTTTCAATAAAGAAATAGATATAGGCTGGCTATGGTGGCTCATGCTTATAATACTAGCACTTTGAAAGGCCAAGGTGGGAGGATTGCTAGAGGCCAGGAGTTCAAGACCAGCCTGAGCATGAATGAGACCCCATCTCTACAAAAAAATAGAAAAATTAGCCAGGGATGGTGGCATATGACTATAGCCCCAGTTGCTCAGGAGGCTGAGGCAGGAGGATTGCTTGAGCCCAGGAGTTTGAGGTTGCAGTGAGCTATGATGATGCCACTGCATTCTAGCTGGGATGACAGAGTGAGACCCTATTTTAAAAACAAAAAAAAGATGGCCGGGCGCGGTGGCTCACGCCTGTAATCCTATAGCACTCTGGGAGGCAGAGGCGGGCAGATTGTTCAAGGTCAGGAGTTTGAAACCAGCCTGAGCAAGAGTGAGACCCCGTCTCTACTATAAGTAGAAAGAAATTAATTGGCCAACTAATAGATATAGAAAAAAATTAGCCGGGCATGGTGGCGCATGCCTGTAGTCCCAGCTACTCGGGAGGCTGAGGCAGAAGGATTGCTTGAGCCCCGGAGTTTGAGGTTGCTGTGAGCTAGGCTTATGCCACAGCACTCACTCTAGCCTGGGCAACAAAGCGAGACTCTGTCTCAAAAAAAAAAATAAAAAAATAAAAAAAAAAGAGAGAGAGAGAAAGAAATAGATATAAATGTTAAAAAAACATATAAAAATATTTTCAAAGAAATAAAAATTAAAATAGGAAGAATTTCATCCTCCACTCCTCATTGATACAATCAATCACCAAGGGAAATTGCATTTCCCTCCCAATTAAATTAGCTGATTTAAAGTAATACTCGTTATTAATAAGGGTGCTTGGGATGATAGTTATGAACCACCTTGCCTGGCCCATCATGGGCTACTATAAGTTTAACAAAAATACTTTGCTGGGTTATTACAACACAGGCCCCAGAAATATAAGCAGGGGACTCAGGTACAGACAAAACAACAGTATTCTGATAATGTAATTTCCTTTCTAAAACAAAGATGAGAACCAACTGTGCCACTTATATAAACTGGTTATTTAAATTATGAAGGTTTAAAACTGTTAACTAAGTCACAAGGTAGCTTGTTAAGCATTGTAGATTTGAGTCTACCTCCCTCTTTCTTACCTATTTTCCATTAGGAAATCCACAACGTATTTTTTCAAGCAGTAGAGATGGGCATCCACAAGGCCTGTGTGGAAACGTATTCTAGGGTGCCTGCAAAAAGAATAAGATGGAAGGGGCTCACAATCAGGTAACATGGGTTCCATTCTATCATCAAGTAGTTGGCATTAGAAAGTTTGTAAGGGTCAGAGCCATGCTGCCTGCAGCCCACTCAGGGAGAGACCAGGATGGTGGATACTAGCTGTGATCCTACCACAGAAAAGGTCTTTTCCCTAGAAACCATATCACACAACTCTATGAGGCTTTTAGACTTCTAAAGAAATTTGGTGAGACATCAAATCACCTACAATCCACCCTCTTCTATTCTATCACAATCTCTTGCACACAATTCTTATAACTAACTTCTTCCTGCTTATACCCTGTCTCACTTTCTTTAGGCCATGCCTTAGCCATGCTTTCTTTTATCTCCAGGATTTGGTATATATTCTCCATCTTCATAGAAGTTGAAGTAAATTTTATGAATAAATACTCCTAACTTCCTTATTTATCCATCAGGACTCATCCCAGATATACTTCCTCCAGGAAACCTTCACCAACAACCCAAATTTGTGCTTCCACAGCACTTCGTACCTACCTCTATCAGATAATTTATTATATGATAAGGAAACAGCCTGTTTATGTATCTCTCTCTCCCACTAGATTGAAATTCAGCAGAGAGCAGAGATTTATCTTCACAGCCTTAGCACTTTGTATTGTGCTTCACACAGAGTAAATGTCCACTAAATAGTTGTTGAATAAACAAACAAATTAGGTCAAATTAGGGCATCTGCTTTGGTGCTATCTATTTTAGTTTGCCATCTTTGGTTTCATCCTTAAAAAATGCCATGCTTGTAAAGTCCCAGGTCATCTTATTTAATAAAAACAAACAGGTGGGGGAGGGGAAGGAAGGAATAGGATGAAAAAAATGGAGATTCCAGTCATAGCTGCCTGGTTGTCGTCCTTCCACCGTGTTGTTTTTCTTTGACTGGCTTACAGTTTTAAGGAAAATTATTCTTATGGGATCTCCAGAAGTAATTTATCAAATGAAGTGATAGTGTACCACCACCCTCGCTTCCATTCTTTTGGGACAAGGAGGTACAAATGCTTCCAAAAGTACAACAGAAGAGTCAGAGACTTGGGCCTCTGACTTCCACATCTATCACACACACAAACCAATTAATGTACACAACGAGGATGAAGAAGAAAGTAAAAGGTACTTCCCCTTCCTAACTTTCTGAGAGTCCCAAGTTCTAAGAAATTCCTCAGGAAATAGAGTTTGGCAAATGTGAGTATGACTGTCTACTTGTGGTAACCAGGGTTTCATTTGAAGTCCACACCAATTCTCTCTTTTCATCTAAGCAATTTGAAAAGTTGCACTCTCCTCCTGTTCATTCTCTTGGTTTATAAATTTCTTTAATCATTCGATATACTCCTTATTATATAATCCTCACAGCTAGCTTATGAGATAGATATATTACTCTCATTTTTACAGTTGAGGTCAACTTATATTGTATAACCAGGATAGGAATAACTTAAAAGTATGAATAATCATCTTCTAAAGTATATAGTACATACAGCATTAATATTCATACAGCATTTTATAGTTTATAAATGCTTTTTCAGTTTTTTACTCTCATCCCATAAAGTAGATAAAACAAAAAATTCTTCCATGTTTTGTAAGAGAAAAAGTTCCAGAAATTTAACTAATGTACTCAAGGCTAAAAATGTAACTGGCTATAAATTTGGAATATGATGAGGGAGCAGAGATGACCAATTTGGAGATTTTTATTTTCTTTCAGATTAAATGTGCAGTGAATATAAATCTTGGGACTGGGACATTAATGGTATTTGAGTTGCCAAAAGGGAGGTTTCTTTATTTCATTATATATTGTTTTAGAATGATATTAGAAATAAAGATATTTTAAAACAAAACCTCAAAAAGGTACCAGTAAAATCTGAATAATTGTCTTATTGCTCCGAGCCAGATAATGTTTTGGGTTTGTATATAATGTGGAAAGAAATCAGTAAATGGAAATGAATAAGACATTTAGAAATAGTTGTGATTTTATTTTTTAAAAAATAAAACATAATTCATCAACTATAGAAAAAGTCTATTGCAATTTAAAAAATATAAAAAATATAAAAAATTTGTGAGAATCCTTTCAATGATAAAGTAAAATAAAAACTCAGAGAAATGATATAAAAAATTCAAACTTCAAAGTATACGAGATCTTTGAAGAACCCTCACAGGTTTTTTTTCTCTTTATCTAACATAAAAAGAATTTTAAAATGTCTATTATAAAAACAGAAAAAGAAGGTAGCAAAGAAAAGACCTTAAAAATGTGAATAGACAACAGACAAAGATACTAAAGCCTTGGAAACCAGGACAATATAATTATCAGGAACATAAAGAATACCTTTGAGTTGTTTTTACAGATATATTTTTAAAAGAGTAAGTTGCAAATTTTAGAATTTGAACTTATAAAGTTTAAATTGTTGAGAGAAATAAAGTATGTTTTTATGAAAAAATCCAATAGGTCAAATAATTAGCAGCACAATTCACAATTGCAAAGTTGTGGAAACAACCCAAAAGTTATTTCTTATCAATAATTTTACCTTAGAATAAATAAGGATGGTGTACATGAAATAAGTATTGGAAAAAATCCAAGGACAAATTTACTATTTAACCACAAAGATAATGGCTTTTCAAACATCTTTAAGAGAGTTCTTAGCCTGTCTACATAATAGAGTGTCTATATTTTCTCTCAGCATGCCAGGCATAGCCTGGCTTTGGCGGTCTTCATATAACTGCATGTGAGCACCCATGTATGCATAAGACATTCCCAGAGTTATGATGAAGATTCCATCCGAGCTCTGCTGGGCCAGATTTCTCAGGTGGTATGGCACTTCCCTGTCACACATTAGCCCCACAACTTCATTTCTATCTGTGAGTTCAGAATTTCTGTTGTCAATTTCATCTTATCCAAAATTCACCCCAAATTCTTTACTCCACCTCCTCTCTGAACATCTATTAATATTTGACTGTTAAGAGTCCTTCAACTTCTAATACCCTAGCGGTGTGACTATGAGTAAAGTGAGGTAGGCACAAGCTGTTGGCCCCATTTGGGCCCACATAGCTCAAGAAAGGCAACTGTCTATCTTATTTTCCACTTTCCTCCAGACCCTTCTCATTTTAGGCTTTAGGTCTTTGTCCACTCTTTTATCCTGCCTCTCTATATCCTGGGCATTCTTTCCCAGGATCAGCTGAAGCCTACTACCTCCAGCAATCCTTTCTTCACCCATTTTACATCATACTAAAACAAATGGCTCCTGGAATACTACTGGAAAGATGGTAGATTATGTATTTGTGATTTTATTCTCATTTGTTCTTTTCGAAATATACATAAAGCAGTCTAATGAGGAAGATAAAATTCCTTTAAAAAATGATTTTTGGAATTCAACATGGGAATCTACCACAAACATGCATTCTACATTTACTGATGAACTAGTGACAGTAACAGGCATAACACCAGATAAAGCAATGAATAAGCTAGACCAGGAAGAAATTTCTTCTCAAAGCTTAAAATCAGAATTTCCTGTTCCTTCTTTCTCTTTTTATTATGATAAAATTATATATAACATAAAATTTATAGTTCTGTGGCATTAAATACATTCACATTACTTGAATGATGCAACCATCACCACTCCAGAATGTTTGCTATAATTCAAAGAAAACTGAACACAAAGATATGTATGTACCACCACCAACACTGCACAAAACAAAACTTCTGTAGAACTATAAAGCGACGGAATAAAAAAACAGTTCAGAAAGAAGGAAATATGTCCATGAAAGACAATATTAATACTGTAAATGTTCAAAGCTTTTAATAACTCTATAAAAAAAGGTCTTTAGTTAATAACAAGATTTTTAATTATCCCTCAGAAGATCTCAGGAGATTTCAGATCCTTATTTCTTTCAAATCTACAAAGGTCCCTAGGCTCAGGGCAATGTGAAATGTTTTCTTCTTCCCCATTCCCAGAACCATCACATGTGCAAGAGGAACTTGGTTGCTTTTTATCCTGCTCATTGCATAAGTATAACAAAGGCCACTTGGGAGTTCTTTTCCCCAACACAGCCCCTAGAAGAGTGAGTAGAAAAAGGTTGATAGGCAGGCAAAGAAGCAGTTTATGGTAGCTGCATGTTTAAAAATTGAAATTCATCTAGTTATCATGTATGGACACATTATTAGACTTCCAGCACTGCTGTGAATGGGACCTGAGATTTCTAGCCTAGTGGGAGAACTGGTGTGCATTCTGAGACAGTCCACAGTGATCAAATGAAGGAGGAAAGAAAGCCTCCACTAATTTAAACTGAGTGGGTCCTAATAGTTTATAAGGCTGCAGAGAATGACTTTTTCCAAACCAAGCTTAGTGCAAAGTTTGGGGACAGGAGAATAGTAACAGAGTGTGTGTGTGTGTGTGTGTGGTGTGTGTGTGTGTGTGTGTGTGTGTGTGTGTAGGGGGGAACAGAATGAAGAAAGCTCATTAGAACAAAAACTCCAAATACAAGAGAAGCTTAACTCTATCATAGGCTTAGGCTTCTCTCTGCATAAATATGAATGTAAACAGGTGCAGGAAGTGTCATGGATGGCTCCTGAACTCAGATACCCGTGGAATCGGAGCTTGAAAAAATGACTCATAAAACCAGAAGCTGGAGGGGTAGGCATGGTTAAATGACTGAAGGTCTTAGGAATTTGTGCTTTATTCTATAAGCAATGTATTCTTAGGTTTAGGGTAAAAATATAATAGAGAGAAAAGTTAAAAATTCTGGAAAGTATTGAAAAAACACATGGAGCAAGATTCCAGGAGCAGCAGAGGAGAATGGGGTATAAAAGACATAAATGAAGGAACTGGTCCCAAATTTCTTCCTCTAATGTTAGAGGAAAGGAACTGTAGGTGGGTCTAAGTAAAGACGAAGTCAGGGATAGGAGCAGTATGCTGGGGAAATCAGTTATCTACTCACTGGGATTTTCTCTGAAGGCAGGGTATTTTCT